CGGGCTAGCTATATAACTTAAGAGACCAGTGTAAAATGAAAATGTGAAACCCCTTGTTTAAAAAGGATGAAAAAAAAGTAGGAAGAAAATGTGCAGTTAAAGATAATAAAATACAAAACTTTATCCTCTATAAATTTATATAGCGTGACCAATAATGGTGATACATGAGTAATAGCATAAACCTACAGATAGATAACAATTTCTATTTTTGAGGTCATAATTTTATATAATAATACCTTATTAATGTGATAATGACTGATCATAAGATTTTTCTGGCTCACTTTTCTTTAAATTCATTTATTAGATCATCAAAATTGATACGTTTAGCAACTTTATTTTAAATGATACAATTAAAAGCAAATCAGTCATTCTTGGCAAATGAAAGATTACACATAATATTTGGTAATTTTTAATTTTGAGAAGAATCTGCTGATACAACTGACACTGGAGCTGTTGGGAATATTTGATAGGCTTGGCAACACTAGGATAGATTTCTGATAAATGATTTCAAAATATAAATTCTAGTATCTCTTGAGCTGATGACACAGAACAATTTTTCTAAAAAGGTACAACTCTTTATTCACATTAGTTTTATGTATGTCAGAAAAATCTAATTTTAAATATAAGTTTGTTCCATGTTGTTTTTCTCTGGTATGTCCCATAACTTGTAGAGGTTCTATAAGAAACCAGAAGTTACTTAATGATTTGTATATAACTCAGAATACCTACCTATGCTTTCTATAACCATATCTTCCATGACAAAGAAAAACTAATTTTAAAATTGTCATCCTCATTAATTGGTTCATTTGAAGCTGCATGTGAAAATAATGTTTTTATCCATCAGATGCAACAATTTTTATGTTTAATTTCTAAACCCTTGGGTATTTACTTAGCAGTGGTGCAGCTGATTTTTGAGGGGGGAAGAATTCTGGGTTTGTTTTGTTTTGTTTTGTTTTGCTTTGTTTTAGAGCAAGAGCACATGTGTGAGTGGGGGGGGAGGGGCAGGAGGCAGTGGGCAGAGGGAGAGAGAGAATCCTAAGCAGGCTCCATGCCCAGCGCAGAGCCTGACTCAGGGGCTCGATCACAGGACCCTGAGATCATAACTCAAGCTGAAATCAAGAGCATGACACTTAACCAAGTGAGCCACCCGGGCACCCCAGTGCAGCAGGTTTTAAAACCTGATTCTATCCCTGGGGCGCCTGGGTGGCTCAGTGGGTTAAAGCCTCTGCCTTCGGCTCAGGTCATGATCCCAGGGTCCTGGGATCGAGCCCCGCATCGGGCTCTCTGCTCCGCGGGGAGCCTGCTTCCTCCTCTCTCTCTGCCTGCTTGTGATCTCTGTCTGTCAAATAAATAAATAAAAAATCTTTAAAAAAAATAAATAAAAATAAAACCTGATTCTAAACTCTTTGAAGAATTATCTCTTAGATATGCTTTATTGCAACATCCATGTGTATGCTTTTATTTTATAATATTTTACTGATGTATATTGCCTAAATGCTACCATTCTCCTCCCTGTGTTCAGGCTGGAGAGCTAATATCTTGCCTTGGGAATGGGTTCCGGGAAAAGACAAGCAAGCCAGCAAGTGCTGCCACCATCGCCATCGCCATCACCAGAATGGGCTCAGGTCCCAACCCCAGCCACACCCTCAGAGCCCTACAGCACCCCAGGCTGCTTCGGGCAGGAATGTGCACACCGGGCAGGCAGGCAGGCCAACTGTTTGGCAAACACACTGCCTAGTGCCCACTGTGCCTGGAGGCCTGAACCCGTATATGCGTACCTCGCTTATCTCCTCCATTCACCTACCTGCTCCCCTGTCCCATCAGACTTGATTTGTAAAACACAAGGTCAAGGATAAAATCAAGAGTTTCAAGACCACAACAGATCATTAAGCCAAGTCCAGGGTCGTGTGCGACTGCTCAAGGCTTCATGATCTATCTGTAGAAATTACCTGGCCCTTCGTATGAATAAGTATGGAGGCAGATACATTTATGCCTTTGGCTTTCTCTAGTGGAAATGGGCTATGGATGAGGGTGTTATTGACCACTATTAGTTTCTCTGTCTCTCTGCTGCTCTAAGCCTACCCCTTTTTTTTTAAACTTTTATAAAAATTTTTATTAACATACAATGTATTATTTGTTTGTAACATATAATTATTGTTATATATTAATATAATGTATATAATACACATTATATTTGTATAATATAATGTATTATAATCAGTCTTACACAATTCATAGCACTCACCACTGCATATACCCTCCCCAGTGTCCATAACCCAGCCACCCTATTCCTACCCCCTCCAGCAACCCCCAGTTAGTTTCCTGAGATTAAGAGTCTCTTATGGTTTGTCTCCCTCCCCAGTCCCATCTTGTTTCATTTTTCCCTCCCTTCCCCCCATAACCCCACTCCCTGCCTCTCAAATTCCTCATATCAGAGAAATCATACGGTAATTGTCTTTTTCTGATTGACTTATTTTGCTTTGCATAATACCCTCTAGTTCATCCACGTGCTTGCAAATGACAGGATTTGGGGGGGTTTGATGGCAGCATAGTATTCCACTGTGTATATATACACCATGTCTTCTTTATACATTCATCTGTTGATGGACATCTAGGCTCTTTCTATAGTTTGGCTTTTGTAACATAGCTGCTATAAACATATGGGTGCACATGCCCCTTGGGATCACTACATTTGTATCTTTAGGGTAAATACCCAGTAGTATGATTGCTGGGTCATAGGGTAGCTCTATTTTCCACTTTTTGAGGAACCTCCATAGTGTTTTCCAGAGTGGCTACACCAGCTTGCATTCCCACCGACAGTGTAGGAGGGTTCCCCTTTCGCCACATCCTCACCAACACCTGTTGTTTCCTGACTGGTTAATTTTAGCCATTCTGACTGGTGTGAGGTGCTACCTCACTGTGGTTTAGATTTGTATTTCCCTGTTTCTGACTGATGTTGAGTACTTTTTCATGTGTCTGTTGGCCATTTGGGTATCTTCTTTGCAGAAATGTCTGTTCATATCTTTTCCCCATGTCTTGATTGGATTATTTGTTCTTTGGGTTTGATAATTCTTTATAGATTTTGGACACTAGCCCTTTATCTGATAGGTCATTTGCAAATATCTTCTCCCATTCTGTCATTGTCTTTTGATTTTGTTGACTGTTTCCTTTGCTGTGCAAAAGCTTTTGATCTTGATGAAGTCCCAATAGTTCATTTTTACCCTTGCTTCCCATGTCTTTGATGATGTTTGTAGGAAGAAGTTGCTGAGCTGAAGTTGAAGAGGTTGCTGCCAGTGTTCTCCTCAAGGATTTTGATGGATTCCTATCTCACTTTTAGGTCTTTCATCCATTTTTTTTTTTTTTAAGATTTTATTTAGTTATTTGACAGACAGAGATCACAAGTAGGCAGAGAGGCAGGCAGAGAGAGAGAGAGGAAGGGAAGCAGGCACCCTGCTGAGCAGAGAGCCCGATGCGGGGCTCAATCCCAGGACCCTGAGACCATGACCTGAGCCAACGGCAGAGGCTTAACCCACTGAGCCACCCAGGCGCCCCTCTTTCATCCATTTTGAGTCTATTTGTGTGTGTGATATTAGGAAATGGCCCACTTCCATTCTTCTACACGTGGCTATCCAATTTTCCCAACACCATTTGTTGAAGAGTCTGTCTTTTTTCCATTGGACATTCTTTCCTGCTTTGTTGAAGATTAGTTGACCATAGAGTTGAGGGTCCATTTCTGGGGTCTCTATTCTATTCCATTGATCTATGTGTCTGTTTTGGTGCCAGTACCATACTGTCTTGATGATTTTAGCTTTGAAATAGAGCTTCTGGTATTGTGATGATGCCAACTTTGGTTTTCTTTTTCAACATTTCCTCTGACTATTCGGGGTCTTTTCTGGTTGCATATAAATTTTAGGATTATTTGTTCCACTTCTTTGAAAAAAGTTGATGGTATTTTGATAGGGATTGCATTAAATTTGTAGATTGCTCTAGGTAGCATAGACATTTTCACAATATTTGTTCTTCCAATCCATGAGCATGGAATGTTTTTCCATTTCTTTGTGTCTTCCTCAATTTCTTTCATGAGTACTTTATAGTTTTCTGAATGCAGATTCTTTGCCTCTTTGGTTAGGTTTATTCCTAGGTATCTTATGGTTTTGGGTGCAATTGTAAATGGGATCAACTCCTTAATTTCTCTTTCTTTCTCTTGTTGTTGGTAGCCTACCCTTTTTGATGAAAATGCTGGACACCAGCATTTTCTTTTGGAGTTTCTTTTCCCAAGATTCTAGAGAGAATGGGAGTAAGACAGCAGGATGGAACTAACATTTATTGAGTATTTACTGTGTTAATATATACCAACCTATTCATTTAATCCTAACAGGAGTTCTGTTAGCCCCTTACAAATGAGAATCTGAACTGAGAGGTTGAAGAACTTTCCCAGGATCACACAGCCTGCAAATGGTAGAGCAGAGATTTGAACCAGGCAGCTTTAATGTCCTGAATGAGAGCACTGGAAACAAACTACCTGGATCCAAATCCTGGATGTGCCAAATAATGGCTTCATATTGGATGAATTCCTTCCCTGAGCCTTGGTTTCCTCATGTACATACTAGAGATCAGACAGTAAAGTGTCTACTTCATAGGGTTGTTCAGAGGGAAGGTTGAATACATGTCAAGCATTAAGAATAGTGCCTGACACTTAATAAGCCTACAGTAAATGCTACTCCTGCCGTCGTTACTATTACCACCATTCCTTTGCCTACTCCACAGTCTCTCTTCATAGCTGAGAAAAGAATGTTGGTGATCAGAAGAAGAGAACAGCTTACAGGCAGACAGTGGGGGCCATCTGCTGTTTATTCTCCCTGAAGTTCCTCCTGTAGACCCTCACAAGTGATGTGATCAGTGACTGGATTCTTGCTTCCGGCAGCGCATCTCTGTAGGCTTCTTGGATTCTAATGTTCCCCTGGTCTGATCATTTTCTGTGTGGGTTGTGTGTGTTGCAGGTACGAGACCTCTCTGCTGGATTTGGTTCAATCTCTGAGTCCAAAATCTGCTCCCAAACCTCAACCCCATCCCTCCAGAGAAGCTGGGGCCTGGATTCACAGTCATCGCCGACTCAGTCCTCGAAAATCAACCTGGAACAAGATGGGGACAGGCAGGACCCCCGAAGACCTGGAGGAGAATCAAATTCTGGAAGACATCTTTTTCATTTGATGTTGAAACACGCTACAAAATTTCCATCTGAAATGTGTGGGCTTCTTTATATCCTGATCTAGGATTTTAAATTATTTGATCGCAAACTAACCGTGTCTCTCCTTTCACAGGGGCCTCTCTCACTAACATCCTGTTATGTGTTGAACATAGAAATCATGTTACAAACCCAGAGTGGTTTTGATCAGACCCCTCAGTAGGTGACACATTAAGGGCAGAGTGGGGGAGGGCAGTATCTTTTCTGTGCCAAGCAGAGATTAGAAAATTAACATAGGACCCTTTCTACATGCAAAGGCCTTTACATATTCAGCCTCATTTCCAGAGTGTTTCCTTCTCAATACTTAGTGGGAAAAGGTTGGTTCTCTTTTATGCACAAGGAAGACCTTTTCACAGAAAAATCCCTCTGATTTAAAAGTAGCCCCTTTGCAACATAAGCAGTTTCGGAAAGACAGCCTCTTTACCTCTCCACCTCACCTTTACCTCTGTTCCCTCATTGCCTACCTCTGTATACGTGTAGTCATTTAATTCCAAAGTTGGAGTTGGTGTCCCTACCATCGCAAGCAACACCCAACAACCAATTTCGAGTCAGTTCCAGTAATCATCAGCAGTAACCAAAGGGCACAGTGGGCTGGAGGGAGGGGCCCCAACCAATCCTTGGAAACCAGCATTAAGTCACATCATAGAGTGACTGCCCTCAGGAAATAAAATGGAGACACAGGCCTGACATGCTTTTCCTGCCATCCCCCCATTTCCCAGGATAAATAAAAGCAATAGCTCAGTACTTTTTACTGACCTAAGTGTCTGTACTTGTGAGCTGCCCATGGCTGTCTCTGGGGAAGATGCCACTAGGGAGAGGAGCATCAGCTGCCACAGGCTGAGAGCCCTTCCCTGGTCCTCCCTCTTACCTCATGAGGATCAAAGGCCCTAGGTTGATTGGGCCTTTGATGTGCTCTGCTCAGGCTATTGTCCCGTGACTCCAAAGAAACATCTCTACTTGCCAGATTCTCCTCCTCCACTCCCAAGCAGAATCTCCCTATCTTTTCCACTCCTCCATTTGACCCAGAGAAGGCCTGTGGAAAAAGTACACTTGCAACCTTATTCTCTCTCTTCTCCTATTTGGCAGAGCTCTTAAGATGGGTCCTTCAGCTTACAGTGGGCTCCAGTGGGTTCTCATGCCCCTGGGCAGCATGATGAACCTGGTAGAACCAGTGAGTTGATGACTTCCAGTCATGGAAGCAAGGAAGGTGTGTCCCCAGATGTGTCTACTTGGTGACCTTATTTGATCTGTTCTGTTTCTCTCTCCCTTTCACCCAACCCCAGGCCTGAAGTGGGACCAAGAGTCTTTGTCAGTCAGCATTGGTAGCCAAGGTCAGACCACCCAGGGTGAACTGCATTTAGTGAGCCTACAGGGCTTCCCTGAAGTCTTTATCAAAACTAGATTATCTCAGCCTACAAAAGCCTTATTAAACAGATTCTTTATGTGGATGGATTGAAATCTCATGTCTCTTCTGCCTGAGGTGCTACCCCCTCTACTCCACCTTCCTCCACTTGGGTCTTTTTGCTCTTTGAGGAGAAGAATGGGATCTACCAACACCAGTCCTTCATCTGAGGTCAGGATTGACTAGTTTTAGGCATCCAGTTGAAAAGTTGAAAAAACACTGCAGATTAAAGTATCCTTTTAAAGTTCACCCCATGACAGGAACTGAGTCAATTTCGTCCCATCCAGAAAGCATTTGGAAAATTGTGTTTCCTTTGGTGTGGCAAACTGGGGAGAAAAAAACTGAGAGCCCTCAGCCATTTTCTCAAATTGAGGTTTCTAGAACTATCTTTTACTTGCCCCAGATGTCAAGAGCACCTTAAGTACATCCAGTTCCCTTGGATCAGCCATAAGCGCACACCCCATTTGTCGCCAGTGTCTTTACAGATCTCTAGAATAAAAGGGTGCCAGAAGGACTAAGAAAAGGATTATGCTCTCTTTAAGAAGCTTGTTTGCCTTTAGAAGAATGCTAAATGAGACATAAACTAAGGGATTTTGGCAGGGGGCGGTGGTGGTCACGTGCCACAGATTGGAGTTTAATTGCTTCTCCCCCTGCATGAGCAGTTTGGAAGAGCAAAGATGGATTTTCAGCAGAGTGTTGAACAACATATTTTTCATATGCACCATCCCCACACCAGTTGCCTTTCTATCCTATAGGCATTTCCTGTGTGTCAGGGCAATAGGATGTGAATTTGTGTCTAATCCAATGTCTTCCTTATGAACTGAATGGCGTATGTTAATGTCTTCATTTGTCTGACTTTGAGATACATATATATATATATATATATATATATGAAAAGGTGGTTGTAGAGCCTTGAGGCTGTTGTGGAGCCCAGAAGCTTGACCTAATTGCGGATATCCTACAGAGAGAGGGTCTGACACAGAAGAGTCAGCCTTTCTTCCATGGTAAAGTGCTCGCAACAATGACTGGTTGCCACCGCTGCTTCCTCAGAGCAAGACTAGACACATATCATATCACACATATTTTTTTTTGAACTTTACAATGTGCACATTTTATTGTATATTAATTATACAAAATAAAAAAATTAATTGTACAAAATAAAAAAAAGTTTATTAAACATACATATGTAATTTAACCATTTCTCACTGCCTCTCTATCCCTACTGCTACCCTGTGGGAACCACCATCACCTCTCTTCTGAATTACAATAGCCTAACTAGTTTCCCTGCTTCTGTCCCTGCCTCCTACATTTTATTCTCAACAGTGGCCAGAGTGATATCGTTAAAAAATCACATCATGTTTCTCCTCTGCTCAAAACCCTCTAATGGCTTCTCTTTTCGGTAAAATTCAACATTCTTTTTTTTTTTTTATTTTATTTTTATTTTTTTTTTATCTAACAGAGAAAGACAACAAGAGAGGGGACCTGTGCAGATAATGCTGCCACACTGCCCACCCTGCTGCCCACCACTCTGTGAGAGAAAAACCCATCAATGTTTGCAAAATGGGACAGGCCAAAGCAGGTCCGTTGAAGCTCCTACAGGGACCCTAAGTGCTTGATTTAGGAAACTAAGGTCAATCAAGGAAAAGCTTTGCTGACAGTCATCCTTCCCATAGGTATACTCATGTCATCCAAACCGGACCTGCATGGTGAGGGCTTAACTAGAAAACCCCAAATGTCATGGGGAAGGGAGGTAGTCTCTCCTCCCTCAGAGCCACTCTTTTCACTTGGCCCTGCTCCCAGCACCATGGCCAGAGACTCTGAGAAGGGACCGGCCGAAAGGAGAGCAGCTGGAGAAAGTCCGTGGTCATTAGTGAGGTGGATGGAGGCTATGGCAGACCCCTCCCAGCGCATGCCTTATCCTCACCTCGGAGAGTATCATTTTTAATGTGGGTAACTATTTATATACGTAAGAGATTTTAAGTTAACAAATTATCTCCATGGATATTTTCCCCACGTGGTTTTGGTATCAAATTGTCCCTTCAACACCCTTCATCAGATCCATGGGGCAGAGCTTGAAAGCAAAAGCAGAGCCCCAGGTTATCAACATGTTATTCTCGTCAGTATGTGTTAAAACAGCAGGAGCTTGGGTTAACAGAAAACGATTTGCCAAGTCCTGATAGGTTTTCCTGGTTGACTCTGGCTCGCTCCCATAACATGGACACCAAGCCTCCTCTAGTTCTGTGGTTGCTGGAATGGAAGTTTTGATCTGCGTGCACCTCTGAGACAGGAAAAATGATCCCATCTAGTGGGCTTTAGGTGCTAAGAGATATTAGGCAAGGGCTTGTGTGTCTGAAATGCCCAGTTTTGAAATCATACTGGTAGATCCAGTCAACAGCCCGAGACCTTCTGTCCTTGTTTCCCTGGTCAACCTGACACCTCCACAGGCCCAAGGAGACTGCAGGTGCCCCTCCGATGCAGAGGTGGCGAGAACACCATCATCACTCAACCAACTCCAAGCCCTGTGTGCCATCTTACTCAATGCTAATGAGAGCCATACTTAAAAAAATAAAAAATTAAAAAATTTTAATAAAGAACTTCATCCATTTACATGGAAGAGAGAGAGTATGAGGGGGGGAGGCAGAGGGAGAGGTAGGAACAAACTCCCTGCTAAGCAGGGAGCCCCACACGGGGCTTGATCCCAGGTCGTGGGAACATGACCTGAGCCAAAGGCAGACCCTAACCAACCAAGTCACCCAGGCACCCCAAGAATCATACTTTAAAGAGATTATTTGGATATGTGTTTCTTACCAGCGTCAGCCACCTCAAGTCCTTTATGGAATGAGGACAGGGATACATCTATGGACACCTAAGTTTTCAAGGTTATCTTATGCACCAATAATTATGCACCAATAATATATCATTATGCACCAATAATGAAAATGAGGCATAACAAAACCTAACTAAGGTCATCAGCTAGTAAAGAAAAAATAGAATTCCAACTTGGAATCTGCGGGGAGAGGATCATTATTCCCTCCCCACCTCCTCCTCCTGGTCAAACTCTCAAGTAATATCAAGTCCACCTCCCGTTTCTCAGCCCACCCCTTCGCTCTATCTCTGCTGGTGCTTCTCTAGCACAACAGTCTCTGCATTGGTCTTCCTGCTAGATGGCCGGATTCATCCTTGAACAAGTTTGACTTTACCCTTCTTTGCCTCACTCTTATCTTTTAATGGGGATCATAGCAGAACCTTCCACCAGGGGTTATTGTGGAATGCAGTGAACTAATGTATCTCAAGTGCTCAGCACAGATAAATAAGCATTCATAAGGATACTTGTTACTATTCTCCAGGAAGCTACCAGGGTCATCTTGCCAGGTCGTACCCTGGCTTAAAAGTGTTGGATTGTACTTAGTTTCTTATTGTGCTTAAGAAAGAGCTTGGCGTTATGAGCATAATGCACGAGGATCTTTACGGTTTGGCCCACTGTAGACCTCCAGCCCCTTCATTTCCCCACTGTTTCTGTTGACTTCTGTGCTCAACCACTGTGAACTGCCATAGTTCCTGAAGGCACTGTGATATCCTCCTGACCTCGTGACATCCTTCATCACCACACTTACTGTGCTAGAAACGCCTGTTTATCTGATCCCTCCCTTAGACGGCAGGCCCCCTGGTGGCCAAAATAAGATGTTGTACTTAGCCATCACTCACTCCCAAGAACTTAGCACGGTTCCTGACACGCTGTAGGCTCTCATCATTATCAGTTAGATGGACAGGTAAGTGTATCGGTGAAAGAGAGGGAGAGCAGGAAGGAAGGAAGCCATTAAACAGATCTGTGCTTCCAAAGTCCACTACTCTGTACTATGCCAGGCTGCTTGCCCCTCTCACGGAGAAAGTGAAGGCTGTACTAAGGGGTTTGGGAACACCTCTATTGCTTCCTCCTCATTCCCACATTGACTCGCATTTTCTTTCCAGAACAACCCTAAGATTTGTAACTTTCTTGCTTAAAAATCCAAAGGACTCCTCAAGGCTTACAGGGCAAGGAGCATGCCCTTTAGAGTGACATAGCAGGACTCAGCATCTGACCCCGTGTCCCTTTTCCCACCTCATCGCCCTCCTTTCTCTGCTCTGTTCACCTGTGCAACATACAGCTGTTGGCCACTTCCCAAAGACATACTGCTCTTTCCTATCTGTGTGACTTGTCCGCATCTCTCTCTCATGGATGAATCTTTCCAGACCTAGCTCAGATGTCACTACTTCCACATTTTCCTGATTCCCCCAGGCACCCTTACAGATTCTTTTCTCCTGACTCCAATTATGCTCCAAGAGCCTTCCGTCCTATCCCACCTCAAACTGGGCTGTATTGTTTGTCCCCCTGTTAGAATGGGAAGTGTCCAAAGATGACAAATATTGAACTTAGAAACAAATCGGCCTTACCACTTGTGAGTTGCCCACATTTAGACAGGTTATACTTTATAAATTCAAACTGTGTTATAAAGCTAAGCTTTACAAATTATACTCTCTAAGCCTCACATAGAATAATTTATAAAATTATTTGTGTAAAGGGGGTGGTCATTCCTACCTTACAAGTTGGTTCCTGGGACGCTGATCTAGCCCAGAGGAAAGACAGAATGGTAAGACAAAACTGTCCATGCAAGGAGGCCTAGGTCCAGGAGAGCCAGAGAGGGGTCCATGGGATGTGGAGGAACCGGAAGACCCAGGAGTAAAGAGCATCGTTGGGGTTTGTGAGAGAAGAGGTGCTTGGCTGGAAGGCCAGGGCCCAGATGGGGTGGGCGCTGGCCTCTCCCTCCCCTTCCTCTGCACTCCCCAGCTGGCAGCTGGGCTGGTCCCTCCCTCGCACTACCGCACAGACAATGCCCTGACCCCCTGACCAGGATGTCCAAGGTCCGGGGTCCCTCACCTGCGCTGTGGTTATACACCGTGCTGTTCTCTGCTCTTGGTCCTTCTGTTCCCCAGTGCTGAGATGAGGAGCTGGAGGAAGGGAAGCCCAGCTATCCTGCTTGCCACTGCCACGGGAGACCCTGTGAACTCCACAGCTCCGGCTTTCAGCCTTCTCCCAGCTGGAGGTGATTTAAGCTTGTTGGATTTATATAACATTGGGAAACGGTAAACTGTGTAAATTTGCTATGTTTTCCAGGGACAGTTATTTATGGAGAGGCATTTTTAACTCAAGTGCAGAAGTGTTAAATCATTATAATAAATTCATGCTATTCAGACTTTCTTACATTGTAATAAATTTTTTCTAAGCATGAATGAGGAGATCCATGATTCCTCTAATATACCATTATGTATTTCTTCTCAAAAGGACACAACTTACTATATCAACTTGGAGAGTGATAGAAGGAGATTTACTGTGTTGGGGAAAAAGTCAAGTAGCAAGGAGTGTCAGAAGGGTCTCAGGAGCAGTTACCCACAGCAGGGGGGTGTCTGGCGAGGGGGGCAACCCCCACATCTCCCAGCTGAGCTTCGGAAAAGAGCAGGGAAATGGGCAAGGGGCCCAGTTACTTCTGCCCCCCACAGTGGGAGGGGGAGTGTTGGAGTGGGCTGTCTCAGAAAGGAAAAGTCCCCTGGTCTTCCAAAACCATCAGTCTGGGTAGAGAGCCGCCCTCTCATCACCCATCTCCCACCTCACTCCTCACCTGGACGCTCACCAGACCAGAGGATTCATAGCTTTCATCAGATTCTAAAAGTTCAGGACACACGGTCTTCAGTAAACGCGGACGCACTTTTTGATCGCCCATTCTGCCCTAGGCAAAGTCCAGTGACATCGTTCCTGACCCCCAGCAGCTCCCAGGAGCTATGTCGAGCTGCAGCTATAGCTCCTACTGGCCAGTCGTCACAGAGGC